TAAACCGCAAATATTTTAAATCCCGGCGAACTCACAAAGCCATGACAAGGTTACTTCTGACCTTTACATTGATGTTAACATTCAAGAAAACGGATATATAGCAAAATATGTGCGATATATATGTCTATCAAAGAAGATATGCTTGAAAGATCTCTTATATGTCGAGAACGGCTGAACTGATTTCGACAGTTCTCATTAATTCAGAATGGCCTCTAGGCAGGAAAGAAACAACGTCCAAAAAATCGCATAAAAATATCTCTCTAAAGATGAAAATATTGATTTTGTAAAATTTTCTCATATTTTTTCAATTTTGTCATATTTTTGGCATATTTTCATTATGAATTAAACATTTGGTAATATTTCTACAGCTAACAAAACTAAGTAGTTAGGATATCAGGATATCATATACAGATCGCATTTATGGCCCGATCCTTATGAAATTTTGCATGGGGATAAGATGAAGGTCAGAATAGAAGCATACTCTTTTTGGAGATAATCGCCATATATTTAGGGGTTGAAATGGACCAAAAAACTGCAAAATTGTCAGCAGGTCGTAATTATTGCCCGATCCTCACGCACATTTGAATGGGGTTACCGGGCATTGCAAAAGCCAAGCAGTTTTGGATGGCCATCCAAAAATATTTAATGTGTGAAATAGTTTGCCAACTTTTGTAGACAAAATACGAAAATGACCATTCCAGTGACTTTTTGGAGAATTCACAAATGTAGGAAAGACGCACTTCTGACTATTTCGTTGAAGAATATTGTCAAATGTCTGTATCTCATATAGATGCGTTTCAGTCAAAAACCAATAATAAATGTTAATTAATCTTTTGCCACTTCTGCGAGATTATAGGTCTTTGGGAAATATTGGTTTCAGATCTAGAAAGACCATTTACGTGCAACATCTACCAATAAATTGGAAATGAGCAAATTATTTTAAGTTGCTATTATTTGAAACCTGATGGTTTTCTTTTATTATTTGTCACAATATCTTGTGGAATTCCTTCGAGTTTCTCGCCTATATAAACTGTATCGTTTATTATAGTGTTGTAGGGTATTCAACGGTCGGCCCCGCTCGACTGTAGCCTTTGCTTACTTGTTTTACTGTAAATTTGTTTAGTAGTCATCCTAGACCAACTTTTGGTCTGGCAATCTTCGTAACACAAGTAGATAGGATGAAAAAGCAGTTTGAGTCTGTCCGTCCGTCTATATAATATTGTATTTTTTACATTTTGCTACTTCTGACAAAATTGTGAAGTCCAATGATATAAGACCGTTTAGCGGCACACAAGGAAATTTATGAATTGAAAGTCACTGTTGGAAAAATGTTTTTAACTCTTGTCCCAAAATTTATCCCAAAATTTAAAATCTTTAATTGTTCTAATCAAATATATAAAGTATTTTTTTCCAATTTGTAACTAATTTTGCACCTATACAGGGTAAGATGAAAAAATTTCAATCAACATCAGACTGCTGTCATTTCCAAGCCACTCGTCCAACAGCTGTTAAAGTAATTACAGTTACAGCTCATTGTATTGTTTACAAGCGTACAAAAGCATTTTGGTGAGAATTTAAAAAAAAGAATTATTCGTGATGGTATTTAAGCGTGATATGATGTGATTTTTTTTATATTTGGCTGGAAAACCACAAGTGGCTATCATTAGAGCACTCCAGCATTTAAATGTGAATAAATATTTTGTGTCCCGTACCATCGCTCGTTACCTTGACACTAGTAGCGTAGCCCGACGTCAAGGAAGTAGACGAAAGGAAATAGCAACATCAGCAGAAATGAATCGTAAAGTGAAGAAGCGACTTGATCGAAACCCGTATCGCAGTTGCCAAAAAATGGCTCGTGAGCTGAACATAACGCAATATTCCATTCGGCAAATATTAAAAAAATAGCTCGGGGTATAGCAATTGAAATTCCAAAAAGTGTAAGAAATTACACCACAACAGAAAGAAAATATACTCAAAAGAGCTAAAGCCGCTCGTATTAATCGACCGTGGCATCAGAATAAATGCCGAATATTATCGCGAAAATATTCTGGAGGGCGTATTAAAGCCTTGTGCACGCAAATATTTTGGCCGCAGACCTTGGACAATCCAACAAGACTCAGCACCATCACACTGAGCACGCGCCACCCAAGAATGGTTACAAAATGAGGTTCCTCGTTTCATTTCCAGCGTATAATGGCCACCAAAATCTCCGGATACCAATCCGTTGATCTATTGTGTCTGGAGTATTTTGGAAAGCAAGATTAACACTAAAAAAGTCATAATTCGTGTCAAAGGTGACCATTCGAACAAATCTAAACTTATTCTAAAAATTGATGCTATTTCTGACATTTTTTGCTTTCATACAATAAAATTTAAAAAAAATGTAAAAATTATGGCGTTTGACTTTGTTGCAGTTTTTTTATCTCACCCTGCAGATCATACCAACTAAAAACTTTATTTGAATGCGTATCATGCCTATAGGGCAGTTATAATTTCGTTTCAGAGGGAACTAATATATGGAAGGCGTATTCAATTCTGAATCGATTTTCACCAAATATGACGGAGGCATTTTTTACTTCTCATGCTAAATAGTATTGCTATGATATCACTTCAGGAAGGATTATAGTAAAAAATATGTATCGATGTATCGAATTTTCACCAAATCGTACGTACGTAGCGCACATTAAAATTTAAATAGGTTGAAAGAGAAATCGTCTGGGAGTTTTAATCTCTATAGGAATATTAATGCGACCTGGATCAACATTTCTTATAATAAAGTGCCAAATTGTTCTCCGATTTTCCTCAAAAAAGTTCACATTATCATATTTGTAGCCATGGTAGATTAGTAGTGGAGTTAGGATATATTGCTCCACTTTTCCTGGTACTTTCCCAAAGAGAAGTTCAAAGATTTAAAAAAAAAATAAACTTTGTGAAATCCATGATTTGGTGCAAACTTTACACACGCTAATTGTAAATACCTTTTGAAGCAATTCATGCATTCTAATCTGTTAAATTTTCTTCCCAAAATATAGGAATATTAATGAAATATTCTAGTGTACTTTGTAATTTTTAAGTCTAAAACAGAAAATATGTGTTGGCTTCTTCGTCATAAGACAGTCTGCTGATAAATAATTTTTGTTGACACAATTTCTAAACCATAATGTAGTGATTAAGCTATTTATCACTTTATTTTGTAGTTGATTAACTATTGAACGTATGTCCGTCTTATCTGCTTCGCTGGTGGTAGCTAAATACATGTATAAATGTTGTTTGCATTATTAATAGCTATTTGTAAGTTTATCGAAATTTTAAGACTTATGGCTATGAAGAGGATGTATATTGAATATGTCTCGCGAAACAACAATTTTAGAACAAACAGTAAAGAAAGGCCAAAGTCGGACGGGACCAACTTTTTGATATCCTACATATTTAGTAGCGCTAGCCGCAATAAAAAAATGTTTTTATGGGGAAAAGGAACTATGGGTCTATCTATCTTCCTTCTTCATTGTTACTCTAAAATGTACAATGCACCAGGGTAATACCCTGACCACAGTATAAATCCCTGTATGTAAATCTGTTTCAGGACAATTGGAAGTGCTCGGGGCCTAACTTTCGAATAAAGGTCATGTTTGTTCAAAATTTCGCATATCGTATTATAGCAACATTAATTTGAGTTCTAAGCTCTACTATTCTTTATCAATGGCCAAAAATTTAAACCAGAAATGTTTAAAGTCATACGTCGGGCGGGGCTGACTAAATGATACCATCCACCATTGTGCATATTTAATAAAGCTCCTGTAACAATAGAATTAATTTGAAGTTGATCATACCACCTATCAACAGTTGGTTTTATAGCAGTTATAGTTTGGTTTCGGGTGGAACTAATATATGTCAAAAATATCCAATTCTAAATCGAATTTTCTCTTAATTTGACGAACATTTTTATCCTTTATACCAAATAAAATTGCTATAGAGAGCATGATATCACTTCGAAAAGGATTATATTAAGAAAATGATCGGAGCCGAACCACCAAATGGAAACGTACGTGCCGAAATTCACTTCATTAGGATGAAACATCTATTTATATATATAGCTATATCTGAACCGATTTTTGTCAAATTTGATGTACTTGCTTCTAGATTGAATTGGGTCGGATGTGCCAAAACTTAGGCCATATAGACTGATTTTGGTCATTTGGTGCACAAATAACCCGAAATCGGTTGAAGATATATATGGAAGCTATATCAACATTTGAACCGATCTTGATACAAAGTAGCAGAGGTATGTCTGGACTGTATCTGATATCTGATAACAAACATCATTCTTGTGGGGCGTGTATTACGAATGTTGGGCACTTAAACACCAAATCGGATGAAATCTATATATTGGAGCTATTGTTATATCTGAAGCGATTTTCTTCGAATTTGATGTACTTGCTTCTAGACTAAATTCGGTCGTAGGTACCAAAATTCAGGACATTTGGACAGATATTGGCTATTTGGTGCACAATTAACCTGAAATCGGTTGAACATATCTATATCTGAATCGATTATCACCAATTTCAATAGGGTTCGTCCGTCGGCCAAACAAATATTATTTGGAAAATTTCATCTCAATCGGATAATAAATGCGACCTGCATTTTGTTTCCAAGAATACATGGACAGAAGATAATATAATTCATACCCTTCAATACGAATGGTCCAATCAAGTCATATTGTGGGTCGAGACCCAATATTCCGAGGAGTTATAAAATATTTCATCAGCACAAAGGTAAGGGTATTACTATATAGTTTTGGCTATAAAAGTAGTATATTTTACGTTTTAGCTGATCACTTTTTGGATTACTTTGAACATAAACAATTCCCTAAAAATAGTATTAAATTATCATGTATTTAAATTTAGAAGACCTGATTAGATTAATATGCAAACCCCTTGAGGGTGCTCCTATTGAGTTGTAGCATTTCTTTAAAATTAGTTGACATTTGACTTCCGTTAGAAATGTATATCTTTGCTTTCGTAGTACTTTTTTTAATTTTTTGGACCTATCAACTGCATAAGTGTACAAAAGCCAAACGTGATGCTGTGAGCAATATACCAGGACCACCAGCCATACCCATAATTGGATGTTTGGATTTTATATTGAAAATTAATCCCAGAAGTGAGATACCTCATAGCTCTATATCCTTAAAAAAAACTAAAAATTTTCACGAAAATTTTAGATGTCTCCCAGATTGCAATAGAAAATGCTCGGAAATATGGTCCAATAATCCGTATATGGGCTTTTAATCGCCTTTTGATTGGCTCATCGGATACTGAGCTGAATGAACAAATTCTAAGCAGTAGTACTCACATATCAAAACAGCGTCTGTATGGATTACTTAAAGATTGGCTTGGTGTTGGTTTACTCCTGAGTGATGGCAAAAAATGGCATACGCGTCGTAAGATTATTACACCCACCTTTCATTTCAAAATATTGGAAGATTTTCTTCAGATATTTAATTGTCAATCGATGGTGTTGTTGGATAATTTAGCCGAAAAGGCTGATGGAAAGACTCCGTTCGATGTGTATCCATTGATGTCGTTGTATACTCTGGACATAATTGCCGAATCAGCAATGGGCACCCAGGTCAATGCCCAAACTAAGGGAAATGTGGAATATGCCAAAGCTGTTAGTGAGTGAGTATAATTATAAAATTATTTATACCCTCCACCCTCCATAGAAAGGAGGGTATATTACGTTGTTAACTTCGTTTGTAACATATTTAACAAGTAACCAAAGGCTATAATCGAGCGGGGCCGATCATGTGATACCCTACAACACTACAATTTATTCGAAGTCCTTTTATGTCCAAATCGATTTTAGAAGATTTCGTTTTGAAAAAATGTCAAAAATAATGCCCCTGTCCCAAACTCTCTTCTGATGATAATGTATCAATTAGTTTCCAATTGTTGTCTATAGAGGGACTACAAAATAAGAAAAATTTAAATTTTGTAGTCCATCTGAACCCCTAAATGTAAATCTTAAGACAAAAGGCTTTAATTCTGACCCTAACCCTACCCTCATGCAGAATATCGTTAGGATCGGACGATAATTGCGACATGCATATTATATAAAACGTAGTGTTGCAGGGTGTAAAAATTTAAAAAATTTACAATTCAAAATTGTAAGTCAAATTAAAAAAATAGCATGCGATAAAAAATATGACAAAAATTGAAAAAAAAGAACAAAAGATATTCACTTTTTTATTGCTATATTTTTCCGCGATTTTCTTAGATTTTATCCTAGTCTGGCAAAAGACCTTTACGAAGTGATGGGAATTGTGAAAATCGGCCCAGCGGTTCTTGTCTTATAAGCAGAATAAATAAGATCTATTTCTTTTACATATATATTGTTCCTATTTTGTTATATATCCAATATCTTGGTTAAATGGTCAGAAGTGACCTTTTAAGGCATTTTTGATTTGGCTGGGATTGAAAATATTCGTGGTTTATTGCAAAATTTCTCATTTCCTTACAATAAATAAATATTGTCCGATGGCCGCCTAAATTGGCAGGCTTCTGCCCAGTCCTAAACTCTAAATCCATGTAAATTGGTTCATAATTGTGGCTTATAGAGCAACTGAAATATAAAGAAATTTTTCAGTTTTTGGTCCATTTCAACCCCTATATATTGTGCAATAATCTCCAAAAACAATAGGGTTCTGTTCTGCCCCTAACACCACCTCCATTTTCAATTTCGTGAGGATCGGGCCATAATTGCGACCTGTAGCTTGATTACAAATTAACATGGACAGAAGGACAGACGGACAGACGGACGGACGGACATACATAGCTAGATCGACTCAGCTCGGCGAGATAGGAAGATCAATATACACTTTCTTTTGTGGGAAACCAATATTTCGAGGTGTTACATAATTTTTGGCCCAATCAAACTTATAATACCCCCAACACAAGTGTTGTAGGGTATAAATATTCGTCGTAGACCTTATTTTTTATGTCGATTTAACGATGTCCGTCTGTCTGTCCGTTTGTCTGTTGAAATAACGATACAGTCCATGTTATTTGACATAGAGCTTTGAACTTTGACACAATTGTTTGTATTGTATCCAGAATGGTTGGTATTGAAAATGAGATATATCGGACTACGTTTTCTTATAGGCTCCATACAACGGTATCTCCCAATATTCGATATTTTTATGATTTTAATAATAATTAGTATTTAGAGTTTATTATGGGTTCTAGCTGCGGTGGCGGAACAGTGTATTTATAGGTCCACGTTTCAGTATAGTCCCCATATAATGGTACTTCCTGATATTCTGTATTTTGATTATTTTGACCACATTTTTTACGGAATTCATTCAAATTTGTTATGCTCATATGACGGTACCACCTGATACTCGGTATTTTGATAGTATTTTGTATAAGGTATCAATACCGGGTTTAAACTCTGGTGGCAGAAGGTATATGGTAGGTATATGTTTTTCTATAGCAACCATTTAACAGTCCCTACAAATCTTCGGTATTTACGCTACATTTTTCCGATTTCTTTGAAATTCAGTATGGTTTTACGACCTTGTCAAAGCATTGCCCATAATTGTCCTCGGTTTCCAAATATAGGTACCATCCGATATTCGATATTTTGATGATCCTAGCAACATTTTCGGATTTTTTTTTTCAAATTCGGTAATTGAGACTTTGAGACTATTTTTTACCAAAGGGTCGAACTTAATGTTTTTTTTTACTTGTTATAACCTCAGACATAGGGCTAGAGATGGTATACATCATTTGATATGGCCCAAGGTCTCTTTGGACCAAATCCGTTTCAGGACATTTGGAGTCGATATAGCGATTTACGTCTGTCAATCTGTGGGTGCGCACGATAACTCTGGAAGGGAGTATCCGATTTGGTCGGAACGGATGGGCAATATCGATCAACTCCTTCTGGCACCTCCACCACAAAAGATCGAAATTTTCAAAAAAAAAAAAAAAATAAATAAATATTTTGATAAATATTTTGACTAATAATAAATCTTATAAAATATAATGTAAAGATGGAATATATAGGTTCACTCCTTCTGGTACCTCCTCCATAATGGGTCAACATTTTGAATATCCATGAAGATCATCAAATGCATAAAAACATCCGATTCCATTCAGACTTTGCAGATCTCAATACCAACACAAGATCTGTTGTAAAGTTGGTAGATATCGGACTAATCCTTTTGGTACTTCTTTCTCAAAAGGTTCAGAATTTTGAATAACTATAACGATCATAAAATACTAATTGAGCATCATATTCTCTTCAAATTTTATAAATCCCAAAATTTTTACTAACGAAAGACCTGGTGGTAAGATAGTATATTCGGTCCGCTTCTTTGGCTACCTCCCCCACAATGGGTCAACATTTTCAGTAGCCATTAAACTCGTAAAACGCAAAATGAGCATCCGATTTTTTTTTTTTTTTTGAACTCGCTACATCATAAAATAAAAAAAATCGAAATAAGTATCCGACTTTCTTCAAATTTTACATGTCCCAATATGGTACATATAGCCCCTCTCCTTCTTGCACATCCCCCCCAACAACAGGTCAAAATTTTGAATAACTAAAATGATCATAAAATACGAATTGAGCATCCAACTATAGGCCAAATATGGCACCTTGTAATATTTATATCAAATTTAAGTCAAATACGAAATGGACAATATTGGCCCACTTCTTCTGAACCGATCCAATAAAATGTCAAAAGTTTGAAAAATCATTACGCAAGTCCAAATTTATATTATTACAAACGAATATTGGCAGCTGAAAAACAGACTGATACGTTTAAACTTTAGATTCGAAGACAATTTTAAATGAAAGAAAGTGGGTATATATGCAGGGGTTTCCGTTTTCTGAAATTTGGGGCCTCTTTCTGTATGACGAAGATGAATAAAGGTCAATGCGAAAGAATACCATTCCAAAAATTAGTTTTAGAATTTTGATTTAATTACAAATATCCTTTTACCTTTCGCGTTGACATTCGTTCCGCCATAATGGTGCTATTCTATTTGTTTATTCTCCCAACACTCTACATTTGCAATAAAGAGAAAAGCTGTTTAAAAATATTTATATCTCTTTTTCAGAATGACTGAATTATCTGCCTGGAAATTCGTACGAATACACTTGAACAATAGTCTGGTCTACACAATATTACATCCACGAAAGAAACTTCGCGAGATACAACTTATACGGATAATGCGTGATTTTACCAAAAAGGTGATAGAAGAAAGACGTGAATATTTACTGAAAAACAGTCGCCATCAATCCGAAAATGGTGAAAATGAAAACGATATTGGTTTTAAGAAACGTTCCGCCCTCTTGGATGTTCTACTGCAGTCCACTGTCGACGGTAAACCACTGACAAATGAAGATATACGCGAAGAAGTTGATACATTTATGTTTGAGGGTCACGATACAACGGCCACGGCTCTCAGTTTTACACTCTATTTACTGGCAAGAAATCCTCGGGTGCAAAATAAAGTCCTGGCGGAAATTCATCAAGTCTATGGTGACGATTTGTCTGTGCCATTTACATTGATGAATTTGAATGATTTGAAATATATGGAATGGGTGATACGGGAATCGATGCGTATATATCCCGCAGTACCGATCATTGGCAGAGAAATAAAGACTGATTTTCATTACAGTAAGTAGAGGTCTTTATCAAGATAACAATTATTTTAAAATATTTTATTTTCTATTTTTGAACAGCCCACTCCCGTATTGGCAATGGTGTCATACCCGCAGGCACAGAATTCATTTTAAATATTTTCCTCGCATTAAATGATCCAAGATTTATCAAAGACCCCGAAGTCTTTCGGCCGGAACGTTTTGCCGACATCAGCCCCGAATATAATTTCAATTCAATACCATTTAGTGCTGGTCCCCGCAATTGTATTGGGCAAAAGTTTGCAATGTATGAAATGAAATTGTCATTGGCTAAAATTATCCACAACTTCGAACTCTTGCCATTGGGTGAACCTGTACAACCGTCGGTGAATATTGTCTTGCGTTCCGTCAACGGCATGCAGTTGACAATGAAGAAGAGATCCTAGATTTTAATGTCAATAAAATGTGATACCTTTATACAAAAAACGATATTAGATTTAATTAATTATAAGTAGGGTAAACCACGTATATAAGCACATTCTGTATAAGAAAAAAAACGGATACAAAAACTTGCATGGTCAAAATAGAAGCCAATTATTTTTTAAGCTGTATGCACCAAGCTTTTAAAATTTTTCTGATTTTGCAATCGTTCTACAGAAACTAGTTTTTATATAAAATTCATTCATATAAGAAAAACACACAAATAATCAAAAATAATGTCCATTTTTGTAGCACAAATATAAGGTGAAAAAGTTTGAGGATTATTTTGACTTGGCCCTCAGGGACAGATTAGAAATTATACAACGACTTTCAAAACATTACATTCTTAGAGTTCCTGATCAGATGAAATTGAAAAATATATCTGAGACACATAGACGAAAACTGAAAAAGCAGCTAAGTTCGGCCTGGCCAAATTTTTAATACTTTCTACTATTTAGAAGGAACTTCAATAACTAAAAAAAATTCCCGAAAAATACGAAATTTGAAACAATTCCGGTTAGTAGTGTCGCTAATATCATCAAAATACCAAATAAAGGGAGATGCCGTAATATATGGGCCATATGAAGAGGTGGACCTGCATACGCAATTTTCCGTCTTTGATTGTGGACGAGCTCAAATACAAATTTAAAAGCCATAATTTTTAAATTTTTGTCAATGTTATTGAATGAGAGCAAAGAATGTCGGAACTAGCATCAAATTCTAGAATAAGTTTACATTTGTTCTAATTGGTCATCTTTGGCACGAATTATGGCCTTCAAACGGCCAATGAAACCGTCACAAGCTGCCCGATTGTTGCTCTGCTGTATTTTGGTCCATTCCCAGCGAAGCGCTTGCTGGAGGTGATAGACACTTTGGTATTTTATAGTGCCAACCTTGCTTTCCAAAATACTCCAGACACTATAGTCCAACGAATTGGTATCCGTAGATTTTGGTGGCCATTGCGCGCTGGAAATGAAGCGACATTTTGTAACCATTCTTGGGTGGTGTGTGCTGATTGCGATGGTGCTGAGTCCTGTTGGAATGTCCAAGGTCTGCGGACAAAATGCCAAGGTCGATTAATACAAGCGGAGAACGACCATCGGCTGTTATAGCGGACCACCATTTACAAGGAACTTGAAAGATTTCAAAAAAATCGAAAACTATCACATATATGAAAACCTGTTTTTTCCATAGACTGTTGTACCTTTTACGAACTTAAAATACGATATTTGTTACAATTCCGGTGAATAATGTCACAAAAATCGTGAAAATATCGAGTAACGGGAGGTACGAAGACGTGAACCTGCACAGACAATTTTTTTTGCCATAGGTTGTAGTACCCATTACTACTTCCAATATGAAATTTGAAACGATACCGGTGAATAGAGTTGCTGAAATCATAAAAATATCGACTACCGGGAGGTACCGTTCTATGGGGGTTGTACGAAGACGTGGACCTGCATACAAACATTTTTGTCATAGACTGTAGTACCCATTACGATCTTCTTAAATCATGAAAATACCGAAAATCGAGAGATACCGTTACATGGGTGCTATACGAAGACGTGGACCTGCATACGAAATTTTTGGCCATATATTGTAGCACCCATTCCATCTTCCAATAGAAATTTATTGAAATTTAATGCTGCTGAAATCATCAAAATACCGAATATCGGGAGGTTCCGTTATATGGGGGCTATACGAAAAAGTGGACCGACATGGTCCATTTACGAACTTAACCGGCCTACTGGTAAACTATGCATGCTTGCAAAATTGTAGCCTTCATCTCAATTCGTTCGTAAGATTGCGCGATTACAACAGACATAAAGGCGGACGGACATCGCTAGATCGTCTTAGAATTTTACTCTGATCCATAATATATATACTTAGTAGGGTATATTATGAATATTTCGAGGAGTTACAAACGAAATGATAAAGCTAATATACCCTCCATAGAATGGTGGAGGGTATTACACATGTTCTATAGTAAATAATACCGCACTTCCCATCAATAATTCGGCGATAAGAAGAAGAAAGCTTAAACAAGCCTGCTTACGGTAAAGAGTCAGTAACTTTACTAAGAAAGTTTTTAATTAAAAACAAGTAAGCAAAAGCTACAGTCGAGCGGGGCCGACCGTTGAATACCCTACAACACTATAATAAACGATACAGTTTATATAGGCGAGATTCTCGAAAGAATTCCACAAGATATTGTGACAAATAATAAAAAAAAAAAAAAAACCATCAGGTTTCGTTCTCTAATTTTCAAATAATTTATTGGTAGATGTTGCACGTAAATGGTCTTCCTAGATCTGGAACCAATATTTCCCAAAGACCTATAATCTCTCAGAAGTGGCAAAAGATTAACATTTATTATTGGTTTCTGACTGAAACGCATCTATATGAGATACAGACATTTGACTATATTCTTCAACGAAATCAGCGTTAACGAAATAGTCAGAAGTGCGTCTTTCCTGTATTTGTGAATTCTCCAAAAAGTCACTGGAATGGACATTTTCGTATTTTGTCTACAAAAGTTGGCAAACTCGTTCACACATTGAATATTTTTGGATGGCCATCCAAAACTGCTTGGCTTTTGCAATGTCCGGTATTCCCCATTCAAATGTGCGTGAGGACCGGGCTAATTACGACCTGCTGACAATTTTGCAGTTTTTGGTCCATTTCAACCCCTAAATATATGGCGATCATCTTCAAAAAGAGTAGGCTTCTATTCTGACCCTCATCTTATCCCCATGCAAAATTTCGTAAGGATCGGGCCATAAATGCGATCTGTGTATGATATCCTGATATCCTAACTACTTAGTTTTGTTAGCTGTAGAAATATTACCAAATGTTTAATTTAAAATGAAAATATGCCAAAAATATGACAAAATTGAAAAAAATATGAGAAAATCTTACAAATCCAATATTTTCATCTTTAGAGAGATATTTTTATGCGATTTTTTAGACGTTTTTTCTTTCCTGCCAAGAGGCCATTCTGAATTAATGAGAACTGTCGAAATCAGTTCAGCCGTTCTCGACATATAAGAGATCTTTCAAGTATATCTTCTTTGATAAACATATATATCGCACATATTTTGCTATATATCCGTTTTGTTGGGTGTTAACATCAATGTAAAGATCAGAAGTAACCTTGTCATGGCGTTGTGATTTCGCCGGGATTTAAAATATTCGCGGTTTAATGAAAAATTTTGAATTTTTTCAACACAAAAAATATGGTCTATTTTACCCGCTAAATATTCTCCGATGACCACCCAAATTGGTAGGTTTCTTCCCCGCCCTAAACTCGGCTACATGCGAAGTTCCGCGTCGATTGGTCTATAATTGCGACCTGCATAGCTACTGCAACACTGCGACATTTTTTCAGTATTTGATCCATTTCAACCCCTAAACATTTGGCGATCATCTCCAAAAGAAATAGGGTTCTATTCTGACCCCAGTCCCACCTCCATTCTAAATTTCGTGAAGATCGGGCCATAATTGCGACCTGTAGAGTGATTACAAATTAACATGGACAGACGGACGGACGGACATACATAGCTAGATCGACTCAGCTCGGCGAGCTAGGAAGATCCATATATACTTTCCTATGTGGGAAACCAATATTTCGTGGTGTTACATAATTTTTGGGCCAATCAAACTTATAATACCCCCAACACATAGTGTTGTAGGGTATAAAAATTGCAAAAAAAATATAAATGTTATATTAATATATATTTTAACTAAAACTAAATTTAATAATAAATGTAATAACTAAATATAATATTCCTAAGGCAATTATTTCATTGCATACTGCCTTTAATATCACAAATATTACTACATTCTTTCCTTCAGTCCCAACTGCATGCCAGTCTCTGAACGCATAACAATATTCAAAATCGGAGCCACTTTATCACCCAGCGGTAAGAGTTCGAAACGTTTTAAAATGTTCACCAAAATCACTTTCATTTCGTACATGGCAAATTTCTGGCCAACACAATTACGAGGGCCGGCACTAAAGGGAACAAATGCGAAATTAGTACCAGCATCATGTTGTTCATGACGCTCCGGACGAAATTCCAAGGGATCTTCGAAACGTGTACCATCGCGCATCATGCCATACAGGGATAACATAAATTCGGTACCAGCTGGTATGACACCGCTGCCCAATTTGGAATGTTCTGAAATGGAAGTTAATTAAATTTATTTTTGTTTTTAATTTTGCTTAAAATTTCCTTACCATATTTAAAATCCTCTACAATTTCTCTTGCTATTATCGGCACGGAGGGATATAACCTTAACACCTCCTTGATGACACATTCCATACATTTCAGTTCATTCAAATTCATGAGAGTAAATTTATTCTCCTCTTCATCCGGATATACTCGCCGAATTTCAGCTAGTAATTTATTTTGAATCTGCGGATGACGTGCCAGCAAATGTAGTGTAAAACTCAGAGCCGATGTTGTGGTATCATGACCCTCAAACATAAATGTATCGACTTCTTCACGTATATCTTCATCACTCAACGGCTTACCATTGATTGTTGCTTGCAGCAGCAGATCCAATAGGGCCATTCGTTTCTTACTACCAATATCAGATTCTTCATTTGTCTCCTCCTTGCTTTCCAGCTCTTGACGTCGTTTCTCAATGACATTGCGTGTAAATTTGTGCATAATACTTATCAGTTTCATTTGTCTTAGCTTTTTCAAAGGGCAAAATAGACTGAACGTTATTTCGTTTTGAATGTGTACGCGAAGAAAACGCCAGGCCATCATTGCTGTCATTCTGAAAATAGAAATAAGAAAATCGGTATTGCTAATAACTCAGCTCTTTTACTATATCATTCAATTTAACAAAACTTCTTTAATCTTACAAATTGAGAGATTAATTAAATTGTATTCTATTCTAGGCACTTAAGCCAAACGTTCGCTGGCTTTTCTGATACCTTAATCATAGACATAGGAACACCAATCTTTGAAGATATAATTCTCCACATTTTATAGAGGGCTTTGTGGAGAGCTTTCGACTATTTCAAGAATTATTGGTTAAAAAAAAATGGGTCATGTTGGTCCACTTTTGGGTTTACAGTAAACCCCGATTTTCAGTATTTTTTATGTTTTATTTATAATTTTTCATTCAATCCGCCGCTTTTTGGTATTTTGAGTTCCTATTATGTAGAATCATTACTAGAATCATGTACCACGTCTTGGTGCAACCCTTATACGAATATATCCCTTTTTATACCCTCCACCATACATGGTACGGAGGGTATATTAAGTTCGTCGTTCCGTTTGTAACTCATCGAAAGAATGATTTTAGACCTAACAAAGCATATATATTCTTGATCAGCGTAAAATTATAAAACGATTTAGAAGATGGGCTATATCGGTCCAGTATATCGTATAGCCTCCATGTAACGGTACCGCCCAATAATCGGTGTTTCAAAAATTGTAGCCAGATTATTCAACGGAATTGTCTAAAATCCACACAAGAAGTAACTTCTGAGTAATTTGTCACCCGGAAGAGAATTGTCTATATAGGTTCACGACAGCCCCCACCCAACGACACTTCCTCATATTCGGTATTTTAGGGACATTATTCACCGGAATCGTTTCGAATTTCGTATTTAAAGTTCGTAATGTGTACTACAGCCTATGACAAAAAATTAACTATACAGAGCCATGTCTTCGTATAGTCCCCATATAACACCATTCCATTGAGCGGTATTTTTCGACTGAATATTTTGCAATTTTTTCAAGATCCTACAAAATGGTGGAAGGTATTAAAAGTTCGGCCAGCCAGTATTTTCTCATTTGTATTTTGGTTTCTTGGGGATTTAAAGAATCCGAAGGGAAGTTTTTCATATAAGTGAGGGAGAACTCTGGCGAACAAAAGAAAAATGGTTCCTCTCAAATGAGAGAGAGTTTGCTGTGCTCGGTACCCGGACATATCGCTACGGGCATAATCCCCATTGTAATTATGGTGGATATGTAGTATGGAGGGTATATTAAGTTTATCATTCCGTTTGTAACACCTCGAAATACACATTTAGACCCCACGAAGTATTTATATATTCTTGATCAGCATAAAATTCTATGTCGATTTGGGGATATCCGTCCGTCTGTGGAAATCACTCTAGCTTCCGAACGAAATGAAGTAGGTTGATAAAATTTTACTCAAATGTGTTGTATGTCTGCAGGACTTGGTATTGAAAATGAGCTATGTAGGTCCACGTTATGGTATAGCCCCCATGTAACGGTACCTCCCGATATTCGGTATTTTGATGATTTTAGTGACATTACTATCCGATTTTTTCTCAAAAGTTGCCAATGCAGGTCCATGTCGCCGTATAGACTCTAATATAACGGCTGCATTCGGTATTTTCAAGATTTTAACAGCATTTTTAACGGATTTTATATTTTTATTTTATTTATTTTTTTTTTGTTTTGATTATTGCCGAATTCATTCCAAATGGTGGAGAGTATTCAAAGATCGGCCCGGCCGAACTTAAAGCTTTTTTACTCCTTTTTTTTTTTTTTTGTTTTCTGCTCATAACTCTCATAATAAAGTAGGGATTATGTCCGCTTCCCAAAACAGACATACTTCGTTTGACCGTTTGCTGTGGGGATTACGTTAGACATATTTCCCAGAAAGAAACCAAGGCTTAAATTGAGTTTACAAAAGTTATAAAAACTAGGGATCGCGTGGTCAGTATTGGACATACGGCTACTTACAAAATTTATAATTTTTAGAAAAACTAAGCATCGCCTAGGCCGTCTTTGGGAGAAAATTGCAAGCCCCGGCCCAAGTCAGGCTACCTACAGAAATTATAGAATTGGGAAATCTATCTCAAGCCCCTGTCGAATGACGTCTACTTAAAAAAGCTATAAAGGTATATTTTTGGAGAAAATAAAGATTTCCTGATTTTTTTATCACTGATATCTTCTACAAGAGTACATTTCGCACCATTTTAGAAAGGCAATTTCAACTTTTAGGGTTTTTTTCTATTTTAGGTGTTTTTCAACATTTTACAAAAATGCCGAAACCCGTTCAAACATCCTACTTGTTGGATAGGTATTTCCATATGCATTCAAATGATACCCATACTGTACATCAGTTTTTTAGAACCGGATAATATCCGAATTTTGTATCCGAACTCTCGGGTAAACAGGTTTTTCCCCCAATTTTTTCCTTTACCGTATTTAGGTTAAAAATGTCTACCACATAATGGGGTTTATGTCCGCCATCGTTGTGGACATCATCCCTATTATTTGGAGGTAATAATCCGGGGATTATGAGACGGCACTGATTTGCTCATTGTCAAGTGATTTCGTTTTATTTTTATTACTATAGTACTCACTCTTTAACCGCCTGGGTGTAGGGTATACTCTTGTCCGTTTGTGCATTAACTTTTGTACCCATTGCCGATTCGGCAATAATATCCAATGTCAACATAGAAACATATGGATATGCATCAAATGCCGTTCGTCCATCTGCCCTCTTCGCCAAGAAATGCAATGCAACAGATGCCTGACGATCAAAAATTTCTAAGAATTCTTCCAATATTTTAAAATGAAATGTTGGCGTTATAATTTTACGACGTGAATGCCATTTTTTGCCCGTACTCATGAGCAGGCCTACGCCCAACCATTGGTGGAGTATATCATAAGTTTTATGTTTCGTTATGTGTACACTGCTGGCCAATAGTTGTTCATTCAATTCGGTATCCATGCTAATTACCGCATAACGATGAAGGGCCACCATGCGAAGTACCGGACCATATGTGGTGAAAAATTCAGTCATTTTTTCAAAGACATCTAAAAATATTTGGTTTCCATAAAGTTATTTTTTTAATTTTTGTTGCAACTTTCTTACTTGTCAGGTTAACTTGGTGTATTATATGTATCGAACCGATGATGGGATATGCATTAGGACCTGGTAATTTAACTAATGCGGCACGTTTTCTTCTATGAGATTTATTATTTGTGAGTATTAAAAGCAGCAGGATTAGAGTGACTACGAAGGCTAGTAACAGGTACAACATCCTATTTCTTTGATTGGTTCTTTGCGACTGCTAAATTTTTGGAACACCATATTATTTTTCAAAATATATAAAAGCTTTTTTCTGCTATTAAATAGGCTTTGGTAGAAAAAATCTTATTTGCAGTGGATTTCTTATTCTTATTTACTGATATCAGCTATCTGTATACTTATATGCAGCTATGCGGCCAATGCATTGGAAGATTGGGGAGGTTCATTCACATATTCAAATCGACACTGGATTACAGTAATGTCGGCTGATGTGTATAAAAAACCCCTATAATAACTATGTGAAAGTGGTACCCAACAAGGGCATAGAAAGATAGCTAAAGTTTGCCCATTTTATCTACAAGGGGATTTTTATTGTATTTTGGAAATATCAAAATTAATAACATTGTAAAGAAATGCGATTTTAAATTAAATTTTGTAATAATTTCTTATACCCTCAGTCATACGGCTACAGAGGGTATATATCAATTGATAAGCCTGTCTGGCTGGCTGGTGTCCACTGTAACTCTCGAAGGGAGTATCTGATTTGGTTCAAACTTGGTACATCGTAATATTATTATCAAACTTTTTTCGAGTTCGGAAATGAGCAATATCATTCCCAATATCGGCCCAACCTCTGGTATTTATATATCCCATAACTTGGGGAACAAGTCAGCGATTCGTTTGAAACATGGTATATCTCAACAACATGGTATTTTTCGCAACCAGGGATCTGATGTGAATAAAGAATCTATCGACCCAAATCTTTGTGGTACTTTCCCCAAATAAGTTGCGCCTATTTTGATAATAATTTATTCGCATAAAACAGAAAAAAATGGTAGCTTGCTTGGTCAGAAAACAGTACACAATTTGAGCAAATTTTCCAAAAGAAAACATCCTCTATCATATCTTGAACAAATAGTGAACTAAATCCGAAATTTCAAAGGTTATAAAGGTGTAACATTTTGTACAAAAAAAAAAATAATAATAATAATAATAATAATAATAATCTCAATACTTTTTAGTGCCATTCAAGTAGGAATATCCAGAAATAGGACCTCAGTCAATAACTCGATCCAAACTAGAAAGTCGAAAATTCTATCGATCAAAATATAGGATTTTAATTCAATAAAACTCAGCTTTTAGTACCATTTTTAGTACACCAACTTATTTATTTATTCTCATAAGGTCAAGGTCTTCTCATAGATGACCAGAAGGTATTCTAATAGATGACCAGGAGGTTTTCAAATAGATGACCAGAAGGTCTTCTAATACATGACCAGAAGGGTTTCTCATAGAAGGTCTTGTTTATTCTGGTCAAATATAGTATCATTCAATATTTTCGTACAAATTTATTTCACACAAAGGTACACATTTCCAAAATCATCTTCATATCTTAATTGATATCAGAGACCTCAATATCAAATTTGAGGAATCCAGTTCAATGCCGTCACCAAATACCAAATTTAGTAAACTTTCAGTACTTTTCGTGCTATTATACACATTTCCGAACCCACCTCCATATGTCTAGTATACTACAAAAGCAAACCTAACACTAAATTCCACATTTGAAGCACTATCTGTTCTCCCAATACCAAACTGTACCAAACATAGTACTATTTAGTACTTCCCCTTATTATCACAAACCTGCTACCAACAGGGATTCCAATACAAAATTTCAAAATTCCAGCTTCATCAATTCACCCTAAACAAAAATATTCCTAATTTAGTTTGCACACCGGTATCAAATCACTTTCATGTATCAAACTTACTTTCCAACCTTGATTCGCATACTAAATTTAAAGTTTTTAGCTTTACACGTTTATATAATAAAATATTGTACCAGTTTCAAATGTTAGTGCTATTTAAAAAATCCAAATTTAAAATTCGAATTTCCAAAAAAATCGTTGGTGCATCTATCCTGCACTCCATTAATGACTCTCATACCAAATTCCAGAATTTTAGCTCCATCGGTTCACAAAATTCCAATTTGTACCAAATTTAGTACCACTTAGTACGCATAAGTACAGATTTCCAAAGCTTTTTTCGTTACTCACACAGTAATCCCAATTCCAAATTTCAGGATTCCATCCCTGTTGTCCGCCAAAAAAAAAAAATGTTACTTTATTTATTACATATTAATACATATAAGTACAATTTTCCAATACTACCTACATATTCCAATCCTACACCCCGACAGTAATCTATTTTCCAATTTTAAGTACAAAAAAAAAATATATAATTAAAACATTAAGTCCAATAGAAATTTTATTTTCCAAATTTCTGGAATCCAAAAAATAAATTGTATCAAATTTGGTACCATTTAGTACACATAAGTACAAAAATACAAAACTGCCTACATTCCCAGTCCTAGAATGCAATAGTAATCTTATTTCCCATTTTCAGAATTTCCACATTCTACACATTTCCAAAACTACCACCTTATATCGACTCTATTCCTCAACCTTGATTCCAATACCAAATTTAAAAGTTTTTAGCTCATGATACGAAATTGTATAAAATGTAGTACATATTAATACTTAATATACGTGTAGTAAGAATTTCCAAAAACTCTTTGGTACATCCATCACACACTACATCAGTGACCCTCATTCCGATTTTAATAGCTCTCGCTCTACAAGGTCGTCAAATACAAAGTGTACCATATTTAGTACCATTCAGAACTTTTCGTACCGTTCTTGTACGAATTATAAAAAAAACCCAGCCTTGTCTGATCCCTTCGGACCAAGAGTGACCCTCACACTAAATTGCAAGATTCTAGCATAAGCCATTTCGTCTGGGCGTTGATGAATCGGTAAGTCACTCAGTCAGTTGATGACTTTATTCTTTTATTATTACGGAGAGATAGATAGATACCCCAAAAAAATTTTTGGCCTGGGAACCCAAAATCACCTTCACTATAAATGCCCCATCCCCTAACCATGACATGCAAAATTGTCGCACAGTGTTATATGTCCACCATTTGGTGTAATGTTTGCACTGAGCTGTTGCCAAAGTGAATAATATTTTCTGAATTGATTTTAATCTAGTTCACATAATGTTTTAACCCACGTTGCTTCAAAATATTCTAGTTCTGACGAATACTATTGTCTGTAGCCAAGTGTAAATTAGCTACTTTTGAATTGATAATAATTAAAAAATTAGGTTGAAAAAAGTCGCGTGCCGATGTTTGTCATACTTTTGACTCATTGTTCATTTTCGAACATAGCTATCAAAAAATAACAAAGATAATTCGTTTCAAAAAATCTTATCAACATAGGTATGTTCGATCGCACTTATTTAGTAGAAAAGCGTTCTAAAAACATAAAAAATAAACTTGATAATTATTTTGATTATTCAAATCGAAAGTTGACGTAGAGCAGTTTAGGAAAAAAATTGCAAAAGTGATTTACAGCAGTTGTGTTCCAAAACCTGCATATAATACTAATATTATTAGCTTTATCAAATGAGAAAAAATTTATTTCGAAGTAAAATCTTTGGATCATTGAATTTAGATACAACAACTATTAATAAATCACTGTATTTTTATATTTTTGTTCGATATTATTACTGTTAAGATGTGCAACAATAAAGACCCGTTTAATTAATTTATAAAATGATTAAAATATATTTAACTTTAAAATTTTATTAATTAACAAATTGCCCTCGGAGGCCCCACTGTTTTCTTAATTTGTTTTGATAACAGCCAAGTGTTTGTTTAGCCTATTGATTATTTCGGAAAGTCTCGTGCCTTTGTTCTCCATCTGTTAGCCATGAACCCAATGTTATCGGTCGAAACAAATATAACAACTTAAAGCTTGAGATAATCTACTTATGAAATATCTTATCAATATTTAAATGGGTATATTTATTAAATATGTTAAATAATATCTTAACATCCATGAGTTCTAGGGACCACTAAAACAGAAAATGTAAATAAATAATAAGTAAAAAAGCAGTTAAGTTCGACCGGGCCGAACTTTATATACCTTCCACCATTTGGAAGAAACTTGAAAATTTTCAAAAAAAAATCCGTCGAAAAATACCGCTCAAATGAAAACCGTTATACAGGGTTAGGATGAAAAAACTGCAACCAAATTCGGACTGCTGTCATAACTAAGCCACTCGTCCGACAGCTGTTAAAATTATCCCAGTGACAGCCCATTATATTCTTTACAAGCGTACAAAAGCATTTTGGTGAGAATTTTAAAGAAAAAAGTTATTCGTGATGGAATTCAAACGTGATGGTGTGATTTCTTTATATTTGGCTGGAAAACCACATGTGGCTATCGTTAGAGCACTCCGCCATTTAAATGTGAATAAATCTTTTGTGTCTCGTACCATCGCCCGTTACCGTGATACACGACATCAAGGAAGTGGACGGAAGGAAACAGCAACGTCAGCAGAAATGGTTTAAAATGAAAGAAGCGACTTGATCGAAACCCGCGTCGCAGTAGCCGAACAATGGCTCGTAAGCTGAACATATCGCAATATTTCATTCGGCAATTATTGAAAAATGAGCTCGGGGTAAAGCCATTGAAATTCCGAAAAGTGCAAGAACTTACACCGCAACGGAAAGAAAATAGACTCAAAAGAGCTAAAGAGTTGCTTCGCTTGGCCGAAAGTGGTGAACTGCCGAATTTGGTTTGAAAACAAACAAAATGATCGTGTTTACTTGCCAAAGACGTCATCTGAAAATGTTTGTTGGCCGTTTGAAGGCCATAATTTGTGCCATAGGTAACCAATTCGAACAAAAAATTTGAACTTATTATCAAATTTTGTTGTTGCAAAATGGTCAGGCTTTATCCCTTTATTGTTGTTTTTATAAAAACAACGTTTGTTTATTAGTGGTAATGTTTACCAGGGGGTAAGGCAGGAAATACCTAGGTTTCGGAAATTGCCACCAATCCTCATCTGTTCCCTTGTTTTTTGTCTCGGATATTCTCCCCAGAAGTTATTTTAAAAATAACTTCTATGACAAAAAACATTTATTACCCAAGTGAGTATTGAGCTTACGATCTCGTCACTTGGGTAAAAAATGTTTTTTGTCATAGAAGTTATTTTTAAAATAACTTCTGGGGAGAATATCCCAGACAAAAACAAGGGAACAGATGAGGATTGGTGGCTCTTTCCAAAACCATAGTCCT